TTGGGTAATCCATATAAGTTCGGTAGTACAGAACCGGTGGGTTTTAACATATTAAATTCATCTTTATTGATAACATTCATATTAAGTAGCTTTATTAGATTAGAGTTAACTCTCGATTCTAATTTTCTAACCTCATTATTAGATGAAACATTGGTCAAAAACTTTCTTTCATCACTAAGAATGGATAACATTTTCTCCTTGTAATCACATTTATTCATTATCACTACCCCAGATCCTTTGTCAGGTTTGAGAATTACAATATCTGATCTTTTACGGAGGTCCCTTAAGGCACAGAAATGTTTGGATGTTAAAATATTCCTGTGTCTTATTTTGGCACCATGAAATTGGTGAGCGATATCAACCAATTTCGCCTTCAACCAGTTTTGATTATCTTGAGTGGTTGGGACAAGAGGGTTCAATTGAGTAAAGAGATTTTCAAACTGGGCGTCAATCGAGAAGTTAGAAGTTTCGGCATGAGGTATGGAAAAGTTAAATCCGAGAGATAGAGCTTCTTTTTCATATACAGAAAGTTCAACGGATGATAAATTTGTTACATACTTATCCGGGTTAAACTGTAAGGAATTTCCGCGATTATCAATAATGAGGGACTTGTCCAACTTTTGCCTCGTAGTATATTTCGTTTTAGAGACCACCGAACTGCAAAAGTTCATAAATTTAATATGACATACGATAGAAACATTCGATAATACATATGATGCACGTGTTTGAAGTTCAATTAGCTTACATATCATTTCATTACATTTTTCCACATGAGATTTCGTGAGACGAAGGAGATTAGAAATATTCTGAATTAATTTATTAGATCGTAAGAATTTATAAAATTGTCTGGGAAATATATGTGTAGTAAGGCATGATTTGTAAAAGTCCAGCTTTACCTTTTCAGAAGCGATTTTGCATTTAACAGTAGCAAGTTCATCTAACCGTTTAATGCAAGCTGAAGGGAGTCTTCTTTTTAGAAATTTAAAACAATTAGTCCCTTTTATAAATTTTGATAGAACAGTGAGAAGACGTAATTGATCTGAAAAATGTGATGTATTTGCGCTATACATTTCGAACAATCTGGTCACACATATTTACTTGCATTACGGGGTTGTGAATATTGTTAAGTTACACATTTTTGAAACCATGAACCGATCAATGTTAGACCACCATTAGAAACCTGGAAGCACTGGACGGCCGTTTCGTCCTGGTATGGGACTCCTCAGCAGTGCGCATTGATCGATTTCATGGTTTCAAAAATGTGTAACTTAACAATCTTCACAACCCCGTAATGCAAATTACCTGTGCTCACTAGTGACTAGCTTCGTGAGGAATCTTCTCCGAGTTCTAGTGGGAAGACGTGACCAGTGAAGTTCAACCTGTTCGGGTGTAGACAGTAACTACCGAAGACTGTGTATGAGGTTGCGCAACTCCGTGAATTTGATCAAGTTAGACATTAACACCGTTAGATACCGGCTCAGTGGTCTATCGGTTAGGGCGTTCGCGCACAATACCGAAGGTCCTGGGTTCGAGTCCTGCGGGATGCAGGAGTCGTGGATGCGCACTGCTGAGGAGTAGTCCCATACCAGGACGAAACGGCCGTCCAATGCTTCCGGGTTTCTAGTGGTGTTCTAACATTGATCGGTTCACGGTTTCAAAAATGTGTAACATACTTGTCAAGTCATTTTATATAAAGTTTAATAAAAGGTCAATTAAACAAAAGTTCAAATAGACGTGAGGTGATAACTGTAAATAAGGGAGAGAGAAAATCAACGTAATATGAAAAAAATAAGAAGGGGTAGAAAAGTTGTCACATTACCCTAGGCTTGAAGATTACCTAAACGTAGCTCTAATGATTACATCACATCCCATTGTATTTATCAATTTACATGTTTGTGTGGACACACATACATAGGGAGGAGTAATCGGACTTTGCAATCAAGGGTTGTGAAACATGTACCTAAGTGGCTTCAAAATCAGTTAACGTCAGATGAGCCGATTAACGTTGGAAATAGAAAGCCATATTCATCGATCGCCAAACACATAATTGAGACAGGGCATAAGATTGACATTAAACAGCCTTCAAAACATTGTATAAAAAGATGTTGAAGGACAAATTTTGAGGTTGATGGAGGCCTTGGCTATTAGAAAATTAACCCTCCCCCTTTTGTGTGCAGAAACAATTTGTCATAACCTTGAATTTCTCCTGGTCATCTTTAAGCTTAGGGTAATGTGACAATTTCCCTAGCCTTTATTATTCTTTTCATATTACGTTGATTATCTCTCTCCTTTATTTACAATTATCACCTTATGTCTGTTTGAACTTTTATTTAATTGACCTTTTATTAATCTTCATATAAAATGCCTTACCAAATATATAGCGCAAATATATCACATTTTTCAGATCAATTACGTCTTCTCACTGTTCTATCAAAATTGTGAAATCATTTGTGACAATTTGATCTTACCTGTAAACTGGCGCGACTCTTGTAACGTAGTTATTTGAGAATAAATTATTATTATTATTATTATTATTATTATTTCACAGCCATATGGGAGAACGGAACGAGCTGCTGCACAGTACACTCGTCCTTTGATTAGAGAACGGATATCACGCCTACGCCATAAGTGACGCAGGTGGGCAAAAGCCAATCGAGCTCACTGTATCCATGCTGAGATTTCGTCAGTCACCAGGCCATCAGCACTGATTAGACTCCTGAGATAAATGAAGCGGTCGACACCCTCAAATACTTCACTCCCTATCACTAGTTCAGGTGCCGATGCAACCCAATCATGAAGCAACATTTTGCATTTCGAGGGGGAAAACCGCATCCCGAGCATGCTTGCATGGTTGGTTGTGGTAGTCAGAAGACTGCATTTTGTCTGCGTCTACACCAAGTAGGACTATATCATCGGCATATTCTAAGACAATAAGAGAGCAACCTGGTAGAAGGTATACTCCTGAAAATTCAGGCGACGATCAGGTTATTTTAAGGAGCACGTCTATGATAAAATTAAACAAGAATGGACAGAGTGAACATCCTTGACGGACACCACTTGATGTAGAGAATTCCGGTGACAGTTCGCCATAAGCAGATGTATATTGAAATATATAAGTTAAATGTAATGAACACAATGAACATTTTAAGGACGTTACTTCATACGGCTGTTTGTACGTGTTCGGTTGTGTTTGGTACCATAAATCCACAATTATAAAAGTGTTAGTAATCCAGATGATGTAAATATGCGTAAAGTAGTATATACGTATGAGTGCAGGAGCACCGAATATGCACTTGGAAAGATTAATGACGACGCCATACTGTAAGAGACGATCGAAGAGGGTTTGTAGATGATGGATATGTTGTTCGATCGATGTGCTGGCTATAAGGACATGATCTATGTAGACGAAAACGAAGTCGAGACTTCCGGTCTTCTCATCCGTAAAGCGATGATATGTTTGGGCTGCATTTTGTAACCTGAATGGCATTCTGAAAACCTGTAACGTCTACTAGCAGATTACAAGCGGTAGGGAAATCTGCTCCGAGGATCTGCTGTTTGACTTGAGCTACTACGAGAACTCACGTGAAACGCCGTCTAAGACCAAGGTCAAGTATTACAGACTGTTCTCGATAAGTGTTGATGACGGTTTCGCGTGCTGCCTGTAGTATTATCTTACTGTTAGTGGTGTGTTGCCATCGCGAGAGCTGAAGAGGCATGATGCCTATTACGGCTCCTGTATCGACTAAGAAGTGTGAGCCTGAAATCCTGTCCCTGATGTGGAAGAGACGGCTTGCATCGTGGCCGGAATCCGTTGCCGCCATCACTGTCTGGCTGGCCAGTTTCCCTGTGTCTCCTGACTATTTGCAGGGAAACTGCACAGTTTTGTGCAGCAGCGAGCTTTGTCACCGTATCTCTCATGATACCAACAGACACCGCTTGATCTTTCAGGAGACATGGAGCGTTGAA